TGGTGTGCGTGGTATGGTATGGTGTGCGTGGTGTGGTGTGGTGTGGTATGGTATGGTGTGCGTGGTGTGATGTGGTATGGTATGGTATTGTGTGCGTGGTATGGTATGGTGTGCGTGGTGTGGTGTGGTATGGTGTGCGTGGTATGGTATGGTATGGTGTGCGTGGTGTGGTATGGTGTGGTGTGCGTGGTGTGGTGTGGTATGGTATAAGGCCAAATGTGGAAGATTCTTCTCACTCGATGCCAGTCGATGCTCTGGCACTTTTTAAAATGCGCTAAAAACAATTTCTAATATTAAAATGCCTTCCACTTATCTAGCTACGTAAAGAGATGTGTGCAGTGTGCCACCAGTTAATGCAAGCTTGTCGATTGTTGACAAACAATGAGTATGAGTCGAAGCAGACTTGGGAAACGGACATTGATGAATTATTTAGCAAAGACGAAACGGGCGCTGGCACTTTGACCATGATCTCAGCTGAAATGATTGGCTTGCTTAAAGAATATCTTGAAAAACAACACAGCGAGGTACGTGATCTAAACAAAGTGTATTAAAAAACACTGTTGGTACAGTTGTCATCTCTGTGACCGAGGTTTGATTCCTGCAATATGCAATTGTCTGACTATAATTTCACCTCTGTCACATGTGAGAAGAGTGCTTCCAGGTTGATTATTTACAGTGTTACCACAGGAGGAAACAGAACCGGAACAGCCGCAGAAATCGTGCAGCGCTTAGTCAAGAAAGCTTTGAATTGGTTGGAATACAACTACCTCAGGAAAAATACAAGGAGATATAGTCAAATAACACTAGAATGATAATGTTTTTGATGTTATGTTTTTGAGTGTATGTCCACATTGGGCAGGCTGAAAAGCCCCAGCAACTCTAGGGTTAGGGGGTGGGGGTTAGAGGTTATGGTTAGGGTGGGGGTTAGGGTTACAACCCAATAACTGATTGCTGATAACGGTTGATAATTACAATACTATATTGTTGATAACGCAAGGAGCGGCTGGCAGTGCATGCAACACCTATACACACCTATATTATCATCAAAATTGCCATCCACAAACAACGTTTGTTGTTTATTTTTATCAATTTTCATTCTGTTGTTTTTGTCGTAGACGGAAACAGTGACGAAAGAAGAACAGGAATTCATGGAGGACAAGATCTCATCCCTCGAGAACCAAGTCGAAGATCTCACGACCGAGTGTTTTGAAGCGAAGAAACAACTCTCGTCTTTGGGAATGCAACTCGATGAATCGAGGAAAAAACTTTCTGAGAATGAGGAAGAAAAAGCGAATCTTTTAGACAGGGTAACTGCTCAAAAGAATGAAATTGAAATTATGAAGAAAAATTACAGCCATATAAAATTGTGCAGATCGAAAAGGTACGATATTAGCATAGGTAATCTCAAAATTTCCAAACATCACGAGTACTATTAATCCCTAATTGTACGAGCAACATCGCATGATTACTTGTTTATCTAATGCATGACAAAATTGGATACTTCTCAATTATGTCAACATCATATTCTCTCGCCAAAGGCAAAGCCCAGTCCTGCCAGACTTACAACCAAAATTTGGTGCTTTTGTTCGTATTTTCATTTAATTATTTGGTGCTTTTGTTCGTATTTTCGTCTAGTTCTTCTTGGGCAATTTCATTTCACATTTGTGTTTAAAATACCTTTCCGCCATTTTGTTTGTTTTGGGAAAATCATTAATTGTACTGCAGTACAATTAATGAAATAATTGTACTCCTCTCAACCAATCAGCATCCAGTAATTTTGTCATGCTAATAAGAAAGTAAAGTTACCACTCACAACATTTTTGTTGAAACATATTTAATCTGAGGTAACATCACTTAATTAACTATGAGACCAGTTGTTGACATCGGCTACATGCGCCCTTTATACTAAGCACTGGCATCACATGTAGTTGATGCTTAGGAAGGGGACTCTTAGGGGACTCTGGTTAGAGAGCTGCAATTGCGTTGGATAACTCGCATACCTAGTTACCACTGTTCTGATAATGTGAGCATAGAATGGAACAAAGGTAACCAAGCATTTAAATTATATATGTGAGTGAATTGATAACTCGCATGCCTATAGTTACCACTGTTCTGATAATGTAAGCATAGAATGGAACAAAGGTAACCAAGCATTTAAATTATATATGTGAGTGAATTGATACCTCACATGCCTAGTTACCACTGTTCTGATAATGTAAGCATAGAATGGAACAAAGGTAACCAAGCATTTAAATTATATATGTGAGTGAATTGATAACTCGCATGCCTAGTTACCACTGTTCTGATAATGTGAGCATAGAATGGAACAAAGATAACCAAGTATTTAAATTATATATGTGAGTGAATTGATAACTCACATGTCTAGTTACCACTGTTCTGCATGTAACATTAGAATGGAACAAAGGTAACCAAGCATTTAAATTATATATGCGAGTGAATTGATAACTCAGAATGGAATGGAACATACAGTAAGCAAGTATTTATGTGCGAGTGAATTGGTTGGCAAAGGACACTACAGGCCACCACAGCTTATCGTAGAGCCCCTGCACTGGACCCCACGTTTTGAAATATCCACTAGAAATGATTTTAGAAATGACTTCATTTTTCAGTGTTGTTGAAGAATTAGAGAAAGCGAGAAGGGACGTTCAGAAGTTGGACACTCAGCTGATCACGGCTGTCAATCAGAAAATTAAACTTTCCGAACAACTAGAGCAATGGCAGGTTCGTCAATGTTTTTTGTTTTCATGTTCAAAAATATCTAAATGATGTTTTCATACTGTTGAGTAAACATTAGCGAGGTTAAGCAAGCGCCAAGCGACATTGTTGTCCAAGGCCAGATTTTGGTGGAAAATTGGAAATAGTGGAGGAGGTGGCAAAAATCTTAGGGGAGGTGCAAAAATCTTAGGAACGGGCGAAAGTCAACGACGTGTGTGTATTAATATACAAATAATGAATGTTCATGAGTGCAATGGTAAGAATATTTTCATGAGGTGAAAGATGGAATGTTCCATTCAACGAGGCGACAGCCGAGTTGAATGGAACATTCCATCTTTCACCGAATGAAAATATTCTTACCATTGCACGAAAAAACATTCATTATTTGTTTTATATAATACCAAAATAGACTAATAGATTCGTATGAGAAGCATTTTGAGGGATATGATTTATTGAAAACACAAAGAGTGCAATTGTACTATACGTTTTATTCCATTGCACTCGCAGAGAGTGCAATGGAACGTATTCCATTGCACTCTTGGGAAATGGAATTTTCTATTCAATATTACATGACCATAAACAGCCAATTAAACGATCAGAATTCAATAAGGTATTATATAATGAATTATGACTGTACAACTCATTACAATTACGGCTACCAAGTTTCTTTCAAAATATTGCATTAAAAGGATACTTGACACAGAGATGAATTGGCTATCACTGTTTCAATTTTACAGAAAAACTTTCTTTCGAAGTGTAGACCCTAAGCAACCAAAAAATCTCACATTTTCACTTTGATCTATCATTGAAACTTTCCCAAAGGAGGTGCATGGCTTTTCGGGGAAGGTGCGAAAATTCTCAGGGGAGGTGCAAAACGATCTCAGGGGAGAGGGGGGGGGGGGG